CTCTGTCCCTGGTGAATCCTCTCACCCTCCGCATCTCTGGCCTGTACCCCAGTTCTGTATGAATAAATAAAATCTAAAATTAAATTAAATTTAAAAAATTAAGGGGGATCTGTGTTTAAAACTATGTAGTTGTTTTTCAACATGGCCTTAAAAAAGAGTCACTTTATAAAAATCCATCAGATTTTAAAAAAGGTGGGAATTTATTCAGACATATTAAAAGAAAATGCCTACAGAGAACACCAAATCTTGAAAGAGTGCACTAAATGCAGACAGTGTGATAATCCAGATAGTAGACACTGAAAAAGAATTCAGTTGTCCATTAAAAGTTGCCATTTTCTCCCTAATTGAAAGCAAAAATAAAAAAATATGTAAATAAGATTTTTTTTTAATTTATAAACTTTAAAAAATAACCAGGTTTCCTGAATCCTTTTAAAAAGAAAAAAGTACATGTAAAACCGAGTCTGATTTCCTGTATCTGAACTCAAGCTTCTACCTATTACCACATATTTTCAGTAATCATCCTTTGAACTTCACACACTTCTTTGAATACTACCAGATTAGGTCACAAAGTGGAACACCAACCTTTTTCCACCCCCATCAGTCCATTCTTCCAGCTCTTTTAATATTTAATGCTCCAAAACCCGAGGCCACCAAAGTCTCTGCTCAGTGATTAGTCTTGTCAATGAACAAAAACAGGTCATCTTCTGTAGATCAAGTCTGTTCTTATCCTCAGTGACCACAGAACAGCTAGACTGAGGTTTCCCCAACCCAGTATGACTCACATTTCTCTTGAAATTTTTGTTTTCCAGTTGCATATATACAAGTTTAAATGTTATGTGTATACAATTTGTATATATAGTTTTATGTATATGTAAACTATCAGAAAGATATACATTAAGTAGCTTTATTTGTGATTTTCTTTTTTTCTTACTGATTTTAATTTTTGCTTGTGTCTAGCTTCCAACTTCTTACAGATTAAGCATAACTTTTGCCAAAAGAAATGTAAGCAGCATTCCCTGTGTGTATTCTTTTCATTTCATTCAACCTGTTTCAAAAAGAATTTTAGGTACATGACAAAAGAATAAAGTAATGTATACAAAAAAAAAAAATTCTTTCAAAGTGAGGGCTGTTAGAAACAAGGGCAAAAAGCAAGTCCAATAAACTCTAAAGAAACCAAAGGTTGAAGCTCTTAGCCGGAAGAAGGCATTCAAATCACCTAAGATTCTTGGCATCTACAGAACATTCCTCCGTACCCTCCTTACTTCACCCCCATGAACCCTAATTAAGCTTCGTTTAGGGAAGCGTAATGAGACTACCTTTCTACATTCCTGATCTTACTCCCAGATGAGATCATACAGCCCAAAAATGTGTTGAGGGAGCTCATTACAGAGACAACCAATAGAGCACTAACTCTTCTTGCCCCATTGCTCCTGGGGTTAAATTTAGTGTGTTTAGAGCTCAGAATCTCCCAAAGGTTATTGTTTCGATTTCTTACAAATCTCCCTCTGTGCAACTCCCTGCCTATGGAGGAAGTGGTGAGGGCACACTCAATCCATGACAGACTGCGTCTGAGAGCTGTCCTCCTTTCAAGCAAAACCATGCAGCACAGCACTTACCATAAGCAGTCATGACCCCAGCATACGGCCCGTCCACCACATTCCTGTTTTCTTCTGCCAGCGCTTTGATGTACCTCTTGCTGAGGTCCAGGATCTGCTCACGCAACATGGAGCTGCTTTCAGGTTGAGTTCGTTGTTGGATAGTAAAATGGAGGAGCATCATACCCCAAATAAAGCCAAAAGTCACAAGAAAAAATCCCAGCTTCTGAGAGGACAGCTTCCACGGAGTAAAGAGAGCCATTGCTCTCTGACAACTTCACTGATGCTTGGCTCTTATGACGTAGAAAGGAGACACAAATTCATGGTGTAGGTTTGTGGGTTCATCAGTCTCACTCCGGCTCCTGTGTCAGTCGATTTCCTTTCCTCGCTTCCATTCTGCTGTGAAGAAAAAGGAAAACGAGCAGAGTGGTGGAGGCAAGACACAGTAAAATAAACCAGAAGCTATGTTTTCACTTGACTAGCTCTAAAATGTGAACTTCCTTTTTTTTAGTTTGCTGGTTCAAAATCTTATGATTCAGTCTGAGAGAGGAATTCTGGCGAGGCGACAAGAAGCTGTACAAATATGAAGGGGGAAATGTGTGTCTGAGCATGTTAACAGGTGTAACGGGGCTATTCCAGTCTGGACCAAGTTCAAAACAGGAAGCTTGTTTTGCAAGGTAGGGAGAAGATGGAAGGGTTTTTCAGTGAATGTCAGCAAAAACCCAACCAGAAGGCGGAGTCATGTCACCAGAGGGCACTTTGTACATGTGTAACTTAAGCTTACAAAGTCATTATTATGTGCTTTGGCAGGGATTAGAGCATACAGTTGGAGAGGTGAGCAAAAAAGTGGATGCCCTGTTGGGGTAATCAGATGACAGAGAGGAAGAGCAACTCCATATTATTTGAGCATGGCCAGTTTTCATTAGCAGTGTTTGGGAGACAAGCTGAGTCCCCTGATGGGAGGGGAGGCCACAGATGCTCTCTCCCTAGGAACCAGCACAGACAATGTGGCACAGGTTAACAAGTCACCTTTCCACTCAGGTGACTGTAAGGCAGAAGTCTCACTTCACCTACTTATTTTCACACTTCAAAGTAGGAAATGTGGAGTACTCGACAGTCTGCTGTCTGTGGTTCTTACTTTCACTCATACCACGGGGCAAAATGAGAAGTTCAATGGCATAGTTTTATATTAATTCTGCTGGATCCTGTATGATATCAGCACAGGTAAGGTCAAGGTTCTTGGCCCCTCCCTGGTGGCGCAGTGGGTTAAAGCATTGCACTAAGAAGCTAAAGCCACCTCCGCATGAGTTCGATTCCTGCCTGCCCTGGAGGTGACCACATGGTGCGGCAGACCTCTCCTGACCTGCCCACTGCTCCCCTCAGCAGTGTACTTCGTCGATCTGCCTGTTCTGCTCCCCACTCTGTCCCTGGTGAATCCTCTCACCCTCTGCATCTCTGGCCTGTACCCAAGTTCTGTATGAATAAATAAATAAATCTTAAAAAATAATAATCAAGGTTCTTAACAAAGGGGTCCCAAGGTTGCAAAGTGTTACAGGTTGATTAAGATATCCACCCTTCAGCCAGAGGCCTGGGCCCAAGAACCAAGCAGCTTACAAATGATGCCATTTTCAATGTATGCCAACAGAAGGTTGAGCAGTGATCTCCTCCAGGAGACTGACACAGGATGCGCTCAGCATGCACATGTTTCAGTACAAAGGATTCTTCTTCATAAGTAGCAGTGCAGGGGGCCTGTCTCTCTGCCATTCCCTCACCTATCAACAGTCACCAGGAATAGAAAGCAGAAATGCTGAAATGAAGCAACTCAGGGGAACTGGATTCTGGATAGATGGGTCTCACCTCTGCTTAAGACGAGGACAAGGCCCAAAAGCAGACACACGGTGAGGAACAGTAAGACATTAGATTGTTTACCAGTTTGTGTGTGTGATCCCATGATGTCATTTATAGGATGCCCCTACAGACATTCTCAGAGAATAGTCACCACCCCAGGGAAACAAAATACCTGCTAAGTGAACTTGTCCTCTGGGCATTATGGTGCTGTAGTCAGCCCTTCAGCTATAGTCAAGCACTTGCTGCCCCCAACCCTGGGGACTGAAAATGAACACACAGAATTCCTGCCTCCAGGAGCTACTCAAGACTGTAGAGTTTAGGTAAAGGAAAGGCTAAGGGCCAATTAGGCTTCAGAAGCCTAATTTCTAACGGGGTGCTGCCCTAGTTCCTCAGGAAGTGGCTATGCTTCCTTCCCAGTACCCACACTCATTAGTCAGTGTTGCTCTGGGCTAAAAGGATTTTCCCTGAGCAAGTAAACTACCTGTTCTACCAAGAAAAAAAGAATTTTTTTTTTCTGGTGATTTGCTTTTACTATTTTAGGAGAGAAGTCCAAACACTGACAAGAATTACCTATCCACTTTCTGGCAGGAAGCTATACATGGCTTCCTGATTCATCCCCTGAAGAAGCTACTCAAGACTGTAGAGTTCAGGTAAAGGAAAGGCTAAGGGCCAAGAACCAGGGTCTCATATGAACAGGGTGGAGACTGTCTTTGCCTGGAGGACAGTCACCTACCCCAATAGGGCATTTGAAAGGCAAAAAAGATGCTCAACAAACAGCCAAAGTTAAATTAACCCAGTTGCAGAATCATACGAATTTTGAGTAAAAGAATCCCTAACTAAGACGTTTTTTGATCATAGTTCTGAGAATTGAGAGTCTAGATTTTAAGTAACTAAAGAACTGCCAGGAATATTCCATGTCCAGTGGAATCTATAGTTTGAAATAACAGACTGTATCAGTAGAAACACAACACACTCAGAAAATTAAAACAGAATGCCTTTTTATAATAACGAGATGTTAAAAGATGTATTTAAATCATCATTGAGGAGTCACCCCTATAGAAATAGGATAACGAGATAGCAATCTTCACCAGAGGATTAGTACTGTAACAGGACTTAATGATGATCATAAAAGTCACACAATCAAGAGGCCACAGACCAACAGTGAACACAAAATTATCAATCAGGTTGAGAATCTGCCTGCTGGGGCCCTCCCTGGTGGCACAATGGGTTAAAACACAGCACTAAAGAAGCTAAAGCCACTTTAGCACGAATTTGATACCAATCCTGGAGGTGTCCCACATGGCGCAGCAGACCTCTCCTGGCCCACCTGCTGTTTCCCTCAGCAGTGTACTTCATCAATCTGCCTGTTCTGCTCTCTACTCCATCTCTGGTGAAGCCTCTCACCACCCTTGCACCTCTGGCTTGTACCCCAGTCCTGTATGCATAGATAGATAAATCTAAAAAGAAAAAAAAAGAGGCCCTACCTGGTGGCGCAGCGGGTTAAAGCACAACGCTGAGAATCTAAAGCCGCTTCCGCATGAGTTTGATTCCTGCCTGCCCTGGAGGTGACCACATGGCGTGGCAGACCTCTCCTGACCCACCCGCTGCTCCCCTCAGCAGTGTACTTCGTCGATCTGCCTGTTCTGCTCCCCACTCTGTCTCTGGTGAAGCCTCTCACCACCCCTGAGCCTCTGGCCTGTACCCCAGTTCTGTATGCACAAATAAATAAATCTTTAAAAAAGAAAAAAAAAGAATCTGCCTGCTTCTAGATCACCTTACTGCTGGCTCCTCTAGCAAAGTGGATCCCATAGGAACAAAAAGGACTACACAGCAGGTACTCTACTAACATTTCATTCTGTGTCCTTTTATTACTTTGAAGAGAAAAAAAACAATTATAAGCAACTTTGTGCTAGAATCAGCTTTCATTGTACATGGACATTTCATTTAGAAGTCGTTTCTAAGAACATATCAATGATATTAAGTGAGAATTTACTATACCATGTATCCCAGAAATGCTTGTTGTCAACCAGAGTAGAGACAGCCCAGGGCCATTACTTCATTCTTCCAAAATGACCTTTGCAAGACTAAAGCATGTAGGTCCAGCACCATAGTGAGCCACTCTCGTATGCATTACTTACAATAGGTAAGATAAGGAAACAATCCAAATGCCAAAAATAGATGACTGGGTCAAAAAAATATGGTATTTATATATAATGAAATACTATTCAGCAATCAAAAAAGATAAACTCATGCCATTTACAGCAACATAGATGGAGTAAGAGATTATATTTATTGAAATGAACCAGAAGGAAAAAAAAATATTGGATGGTTTCTCTAATAGGAGTAATATAGGAGAACCAAATAAGGGACTAAGGAAAACAAATAATTATAGAGAATAAAATACAAAATTAACAAATAACTATAAATCAGGAACATTCTGCAGGGGAGGGCAAGGGAGAGATCTCAAAACAGGGGAAAGAGATGCACAGAAACTATGGTGATGATGCTCAGGTGAATTGGTGGTGGGAATTTTTTTTTTTTTAAGATTTATTTATTTATTTATACAGAACTGGGGAGGGTGAAAGGATTCACCAGAGACAGAGTGAGGAGCAGAACAGGCAGACCAACAAAGTACACTGCTGAGGGGAGCAGCGGGCAGGTCAGGAGAGGTCTGCCACACCATGTGGTCACCTCGGGGCAGGCCGGGATTGAACTCATGCGGAAGTGGCTTAAGCTTCTTAGTGTAGTTCTTTAACCCACTGCACCACCAGAAAGGGCCAGGTGGTGGGAATTTTACGAAGACTATACCTGAGTGGAGAAAGCATACATTATACAAAAATGAAGAATGATGTAAATTATATATAAGTAAAATGAGTTTTTAAAAAAATGTGTAGTCTTTACTTTCCTTCTTATTCACTCCTCAAACAATGACATCAGAGTTCCACATTTCCACAAATGTCTAGAATGGGCAAGTTTATAGGAACAGAAAATACAGGAGGTGCTTAGGGCACAAGGGAATGGGGGAATTCCAAGGTGACAACTAAGGTATACAAAGTTTTGCTTTGTTTAAGAAAAGTGATCTAAATTTGATGAAGGAAGAGAAACTGTGGTTAAGTTAATTATCTAAAAGAAACTCAATTATATAATTTAAATGGGAAAACTGCTTGTTACAAAAAGAGTAAATCCGCAATTTAGTAGGAGCAGAGGTCAATAGGTAAGGGCCACAAACCCACAGCAATCCCATAAGGCAGCTGCACCCAGCTAGAACCAGGCAGCACCATTACAAAGGAACAACCACAGGCTAGTAGCTACAGGAGGAAATGACGCAGAGATGTGAGTTCAGCAGATATTGCTACTTCCACAGGTTCCAGATCAACCTCACCAAATGACCTTTGGAGGGGCCCTGGTCTACCTTGCCTGGAATTTTTCAAACCATCTAAGAACACCCTCAGAAGCAGCCTAGTTTCAATGGGATACAATACAAACTAGACTGATGAAGCCATTTCTTTAGGTGCTCCTCCAATGTCTTTGGAGGCCCTACCATATCAGCA